CCTGGGAACAGCACAGGGAGCACATGGAGCTGCTGGAGAGAGCCCAGAGGAGGCACCAAGAGGATCCCAGGGCTGGAGCAGCTCTGCTGGGAGGAAAGGCTGGCACAGCTGGGATTGTTCAGCTGGACAAGAGAAGCTTTGGGGGGACCTGAGTGTGGCCTTGCAGGGCCTGAAGGAGCTCCAGGAAAGGTGGAGAGAGACTATTTCCATAGTATCTTTGATAAATTATACCATCTAAGATACAGGTTTTATGCCTATATATATATATATATATAAACATGAAAACTGGCATCCAAAATCAGAAAATTACTGCAGTTCCACCAGACATAAAAACCTTCTTGTCTTTCCCTCCTTTCCTTACACCTCACCTTGACAAAAATTCAGCTTCTTTCCAAGAATGCAAGTCCTGGTGAGCTCTGTCAGAATATGTTTGGTGGTGGTGTTTTTGTTTTTTTTTAACAAGCTTTGCTTTCAAATCTGTTGCTTGAAAAGAGCTGTTGAGAGCAGGCTGAAGAAGCTTCCTGGCACTGCAGGAATATGGAGTGGGATATTTTGCAGAGCTACCTGGAAGACATTCAGGGGGGGTTGGGAATTTTAAGACAGAACTGTGAGGAAATATTGAAGATTTCCTGGATCGGCAAAACGCAGCTCGGAAGTGACAGCCCTTTGGAATTCTAATTGACATCTATTATTTGGGTTTGGTTTTTTTTTGACAGAAAGTGAAGGTTCAGCGGTGTCTTTATCGACTTCCTCTTCCTCTTCACCCTCCACGAGCAGCTCAGAAGACAGCAAGGAATGTTGTGAGGCCAGCGTGTCCCCCCAGCTGCACAACGGGCTGTGCAGGAGGAAGGGCGGCAGCCCCAGGATGACCCGCAACAGAGCTGCTCAGAGACAGCACCCAGGTATGGCCTGGGGCCTGCAGTGGCACTGGCAAACACCACACCTGTCTGTAAATAAATTATACCCAAAAAGAAGTGTAATTTTTTTTTAATTAGTAATTTTTTATGACAACAGAAGCACCCGACTTGACCGGGAGTGCCTTTCATTCATCATGTCTGCGTGTTGAGCCCGTCCCAGATCTGACCAGACTTCAGAAGCTGCTGTGTTGATATTTCAGATTTCAACCTCTGCTTTTCCTTTGCAGGGACAGTTCTTCAGGAGAACGGGAACACCAGGAAAGCTGTCAGGAAAAGGCTGTATGTAAATAACTCCCAAAACGCTTCGGTGCTGCCATCCCAGCCCCTCAGCAACAGCACGGGCAGGCACAGGAAAACCCCCCGAAGAAGCGCTGCTCTGGCTGCCAATAAACTGAGGCTGATGAGTGACGTGGAGGAGGAGGTTTCCAGCTCGGAAAGCATCGGAATTGGCTGCAGGAACAGGAAGCTGCCCCACCGCAACGCCTCGGCCGCCGCCCGCAGGATGCTGCTGGAGAGATCCGAGGATGACACGGGCTTGAAGTCAGAGAGCGAGAAAGAATTAGAAGAGCAGCTCACCAAGAGGAAAACCCTTTCTCAGCCTGGTTCATCTGCTCCACGGAGGAAATTCGTGAGCGAATCCGAAAACGGGAGTTCGGATTCCGAGCCGGACGCGCGGCCGTGCCAGAACACCTGGCAGAGCAACGGCCACAAACACTTCCGGGGCTCGGCCCATCCCTTGTCCCCCAAAGGGAAGAATTCCAGCCCAGACTCCTCAGAGGAGGACTCCAAAAGCCATAATTCCGAGGGGGGGAACAGTCCCAGGATCTGTGACCAATCCACGCCTGCACACGAGAAACCCGCAGGGAGCGACTCTGAGGACGAGGCGGATTCCGAGGTGGACGGGTGGGATGGCAGGAGAGCAGCTGGCAAACAGCTCGGTGCTGCTGGGAAAAAAGCAAAAGTCCTGAGTGATTTAGAGGACTCAGCAGAATCTGAGACAGAAACCAGGGAGGAGTGGAAAAGTTTCCCCTCGGAGAACTTGGTGCCAACCAGGATTGCAGGGAATTCCAAAGCCGGCCCCTGTTCCAGCTTCCGTCGCTCCTCTGACACAGACTCGGAGGCTGAGTCCAACAATAGCAACTACTGTGAGACTTCACTGACAGCAAGCAAGAGGAAAAGAAAAGGAAGACCAAAAATCATCAGAAAAGGTGAAATTTTAAAAGTTAATGCCTTTAACTCTTGATATCCTGAGGGGTGACAGAGGAAAATCTCTGGGACCTGATTAGAGAATTTCAGTAACCAAAACCTTCTGGTTTGTAGTTTTCTTGCCCTCGGTTTGTGGGTAAAGATGATCTGAATTTCCTGTTGAAAATTTTCTGTGCTGGCCTGGATTTAAAGCAGTCATTTTATTGATAATTTATTTTCAAAATATTG